AGTTTATGCTCCGCTAAGTGAGCAGCGAAGCGAAGTCTTTTCTTCGCTTGAGCAAAGCACGCGTTAAAGCTCCGCTAAGAAGCGAAGTTTCGCTTTCGCCGTATCACCGCAAGCCCATTTTCGAGCTAAACGAAGGAGTTGGATATGATCCTACTTCTTCGCCTCGCTTTGTTCTTTGCAGCCAATCAAAGACACTGGAATGCTGACGTCATCACGTTATCACGTCATCACTGAACAGACTGAACAAAATGGTGTTGTCGATGTCAATGTCGTCGCAGGCGTCTTTTGATAAAGAAGCATTTATCAATGCAATTCGTCAGAATGAATTTATTTTTAATCCTACTCATCCAGATTATATGAATAGAAACACCAGTGAGAAAACCTTTACAGATTTGGCAGAACAGTTCCAACTAAAAGGTAAGCAAACGCGTCTACCTACAATATTTTGCCCAACTACGGCTAGGCTACTAAACTAGGTGACCTAGCATTGAAGAAGGCTAGATTTATTTAATTTTTTTTCAAAAAAGCATTGTCTTTTATTTCAAGTGCATTTAATATAGGTAATCCTACCCTACATGTGTATTTAGACCTCGATCTATCTAGTATCTGTTCATCCTACCACATCACCCAGTCTCAAGTCAAACTCTCAATCTCAATCTCAAGCTTATTTATTATTATCTCGATTAAATTTTTAGTCAATCAAGGATAGTTACCGAATCCAGAAAAGAAGATACGAGATGGTGCGCGCAGTGGCAGTGGTGCTAGTGGTTCTAAAGTTAGATGGCCCTTTTTTGAACAATGTGGATTTCTTGATAGATTTATGGCCATATCAAAGTAAGTGTATTAATAGAAAATTAATAAGTTTCCATTTAAATTCATTTAAATCCAAGTATGTTCCAAACAACAACTCATGGATATCAATCGCTGCATATAAGTGGTACCAACTAAGCTTCCCTTGCTAGGTAACCTTAACTTGACTTGAGATTAATCTATACTCTTAAAGTTATATGCATACATGTAGATAGATAGATAGATAGGGAACATTATTTCTGATTATAATGTTTCTTTTACAGAACATATTCCAACCATTCACTCGACGCAATCGACTCATCTGATTCAGACACACCACCACCAACATCGCAGCTATTGACCACAGAAAAACCGCCCTCCCCAAAAGCAGGTGCTTACAATCAATATCCAAGCAGCTCAAAGAATGGAGCTAAAAAGATAAAATTTTCTATAGAAACTAGTTTGCATCAAGCCTTGGAAAACACTACTGCTCACATAAATATGTTAGCAAATAGGGAGACGGACGGTGACACCATCTATGGAGCGTATGTAGCCTCAAGAGTAAAGCTCTTGAGTAAAAAACAAAAAAACAATTTTAAAATCAGTGTGGAAAATTTGCTATTTTCATATGAATCAGACGATATCAACGACAATAAAAGTAAAGAAAATTGTAATACCATCAATTTATTTGATCTATTGAATGAATAAACTTGACTATTTAAGTATTATTTTTTCAATTTATGGCGTGATATGCCATGGAACCTGTCCAAACTCGGAAATAAAATAAGATGTAAAATTGTCTCGAACAGAATTGGCATTATCACCATACATGTTACTTCCCATTGGTCCTATTCTTTGCAGCCCTTGGACAGATTTACCCCGCCATGCCCCACTCACGATGCTCCTGTCTGGACTACTTTGGTCAACGGATGATCGTGAACAATAGCGTCTTTCACCAGACGATAATACCGATGCCTCCTCTCTGATAAAATTATGGAGACATAAACAAGCCTTTACTATAGAAACAACTTTCTCAGGTTGTGCATGGATAGGTTTCATGAAAATGCGCCACTTTGTTGCGAGAATACTGAAAGCGTTCTCAATAACACGTCTTGCTCTGGAAAGTCGGTAATTGAATATTCGTTTGCTGTCTGTGTGATGATATGATATGTAATGATGTAATGATATTCTGGATCCCCTAATCGCATTTCTAGAACAAGATTTGTATTTTTTCCTTGTGAGTATCGACCCTTTAAAATCGGTCTGATGTACATCTGTCGATCTCTGGATTTTATTCTCATTAAACACAAAATAATAAACTGAATTAATTGAAGACTGGACGTAAGCATTTCGATTTTTTCGTCGGAAATCATCTCGATGTAGTCCACCACGCACCGTGAATTTTGATATGACGTAAACAAATGTGACGTGATTTGGTCCATAGCTTTGCTTCGCTCAAAATTCAAAACTTCGCGACGCAAAGCTTTGCGTCGTGATGCAAAGCTTCCCTTAGATTTTATATTATCGCTTCGCGCTTACGCTTAGCGGAGTATAAACTGGCCTTTACAATGTGAAAACCAGCGGCGTTCACAAAACTAAATATTTCTTACGAAAGTGACATGAACGTAACGACGTGCAAGGTCTAGTTTTCAACAAGAAAAAAGACAATTGATCACAATCGAGCTATGGGTTATATAGTCACCATATCTAGTCACATGATTGCTTGTGTATACATTTTGTCATGAATTTTTCTTTCTTTGAACGTTGATTGAGTGCATTTTCTAGTGACGTAACAAGAATAATGCATTCATAAATCCGAGATGCCCAAAGGGCTATAGTGGAATATAATTTGTATTTTAGTCATTTCTGATAGCTGCCAGTGGGCGTATTTTACTTTGCCTGGCAAGCTATCTTTTCTTTAATTTCAGGAATTATGAAGATTTCACAGAATATGGAAAGTGTATAATGATTGAAACCAGTGCCATGTTAAGAGGATTTGAATATAAGTATTGTCTTGTTAATGGACAGAAACATGAATTTGAACGTGTCTATCATATGATTAAAAGAAGAGGTAATAATAAAGAGGCCAACCGTCATTTTATGATATTCAAATCACGAATAGAAGAAATTACAGGTATTTTTTAATTTACTCTTGACATCACTTTTTATGCGCCAATATGGAAATGTAGATGTATATTGCTGCCGCCCCTGTCCGTCTGTCGGTTGGTCCGTCCGTCGTCTGTCCGTCTACATTTCTTGTATGCACGATAGAGGCTACAGTTTTTAACTGATCTCAATGAAACTTGGTATGTATTATATAATATTTACATTTCTACTATCACTCCCTTTAATAAACCAGTTAGCCAAACGGGCGTTTATTTTCCAATAACTGTAGTTTGTCACGTGACAATAAGGCGTATGAATACATCGAAAACAAAAACAAGAATTGACCCAAGTTTTTTACCTAGAGTCAAATCTAATTTTACAATTTATTTGAATTTACAACTGTTGTTAATATTTCAATGGAATAAATAAATAAGACTGTTGATTTATAGAACTATATTGTTAGGGGCGGGTCGATGAACTTGATTGACAGATATCGGTGAATTAAGCAACAACAGTTTCGGGTATTTTTTACATTAANAAATATAACATTTTAGTGTATTTTATCACAAAGATAAACCAATGTAAATATAAGGAATGAATGTGGATCTTGTTATCGTTCTGGGGAAATAAACGCTAGTTTATCATGTGACAAGACGTACATGACCCGCTTTGCCAGGTCATTTGTCTTGTCACATTATACACCAGTGTTTATTTCCCCATAACGATAACAAGATCCACATTCATTCCTTAATTGATGAGATCTCAGTCAAGTTCGAAAATGCCAATAATCGAATGAATGGTTGTGGAGTTATGGCCCTTGATTTAGTAAAAACGCATTAAATTTAACTTGTATGCACAATAAAGGCTGCAATTTTTATCTGATCTTTAAGAAACTTAGTACGCATGTATATACTGATAAGATCTCCGTCAAGTTCGAAATTGGTGATGAACGGTTTCAGAGTTATTGCCCTTGACTTAGTAAAAACACATTAAATTTGGCTTGTATGCACGATAAAGGCTGCAATTTTTATCCGATTTTGATGAAACTTAGTATGCATGTATATATTGATGAGATCTCGGTTAAATGCGAAATTGGTAATAATCAGATGAACAGTTTCAGATTGCCCTTGACTTACTAAAAACGCGTTAAATTTGGCTTGTATGCAAGATAAAGGCTGCAATTTTTATCTGATTTTGATGAAACTTGGTATGCACGTATGTATTGATGTGATCTCGGTCAAGTTCGAAATTGGTAATAATCGGATAAATGGTTTCAGAGTTATTGCCCTTGACTTAGTAAATTTGTAGGCATGATAGAGACTACAGTTTTTATCCGATCTTGATGAAACTTGGTATGCATGTATATATTGATGAGATGTTGGTCAAGTGCGGAATTGGTAATAAACGGATGAACGGTTTCAAAGTTATTGCCCTTGACTTAGTAAAAACGAATCAAATTTCGATTGTAGGCACGATAGAAACTACAGTTTTTATCCAACCTGCTTGAAACTAGGTATGCATGTATATATTGATGAGATCTCACTTGAGTTCGTAATTGGTAACAATCGGATGAAGGGTTTCAGAGTTATTGCCCTTGACTTAGTAATGTATGAAGTCTATATATGAATTTTGAACGAAATCGAAAGTCGCCCTAGGGGTGCCATCGGCCATTTTCAAAATGGCGGCAAAAATGGCGTCAAAAATATTTTTATTCACCAAAAATCAGAGGATTCTACTTATACATGCCATGTAAACTGACCTTTATATTTTTTCGCCATAAATTGGAGGATTCTACTCATACATGTCTTATAATATGTCTTTTAGAGGGTTTTCGGGGACAAGGAATCTAAATATGTCAAAATGAATTTGATCCGAAAATCCAATAATGCCGTTCGTCTAATTTAACAGACGTATGGCCAACAATTGAACGCTCATCTACCTCACCACGCATCCTTGATATCCAGGACCAAAATCTGCTGGCTGAAAAATCCAAAACTGTTGAACTGCTATGTAAAACTGAGAGGTTGTCCAACTAGGCCTGTTGATGTTGGGTGAAATCCAGTCAAAAAACTATCATTGGTGCGAGTCATCTGTTATATGTCCCTAAAATGCTCGCCTTCAGTGAGCAATGTGGATACGACGAAGTTTACATAAAAGTTAGAAACTTTTGTATTATACACTTCGCTATTTTATCTACCTCACTGGACCAATTGTTCACTAACTACTGAAGCTCCTAAAATGGACATTGATTTCATACAAATAAATATGCACATACCGATCGGAATCACAAGGACTCAGTGAGGTTGCAGAAGCTGTTAGTGAGAAAATATCTAAGCACTGGTATTTGACTGAAGAAATGGTACTGTTATCACTATTAAGTGAATCTGTGCTCCCTGACCAAAAAGATTGTCTTGTCAAGAAACTGTTATCCTTTCCGGAACCTCGAGAATTTATTCTCGGTAAGCCACAATTACCCATGATTGGTGCTGATTCTATCCTCTCGAACTTTGTCGGACCTAATTCATGGCCCTTGTTTCATTTGGTTGGGAAATTGGACACAGCAACATGGATGGCAGCAAATCCAGCTACGACATGGGGAACGAACGACTCTTTCAAGGAGATGAAGGTTGTCCTCAAAACATGATCCTGCAGAGCGTGCTATCAAACTATGTTCTAATTTCCTAAACATGACCAGTGATGAATAGAATCGCCACGACTTATACCAAGTCTTGGAGAACCATCGACATAGAGTCACATGTAGAACAAAGCTAGAATTATTCAAAATGTAATTTGTAATGACTGATAACTGATATGTAATATGTATGTTTGTTATCGAAATGTCAATTCAAATTTCATAGACCTTCTATATAGGCGACGATGTGCATAAATATAAATTGGAACATTTTTGCAAAACTGGAAGTGCCACAGTTCGACATGTGCAAAAAGTCGAAAATCGGCTCTAGAAGGTGCATTTTTACATCGATTTTCTTCGGGAGTTCATTTTTACAATCTACCTGTAATTTCTGACCTGATAGCACTTGAAAAATTAGGAAATTTGAAAATTGGTAGCTCTCTCTTTTCAATAGAATTTTTCAATTAATTTGCAACTCTTTTGCTTTTGCATCGATTGATCTCAAATTTTAAATGCAAAGAGAGTTTATTAATGTTAATAATATGGTACAGTCAAATTTTGTACGTCATTTCCGCTTTTGAACAGGAAAGCGTCTGAATTTCAAATCTACTTCTGATTGAATAACTAACGGTGTAATTTATGTAGGTCAACAAAATTTAGCTGATCTTTACCAAATAAAATTCTATGGCCTGTTTTAGAATAAAATCCAGACAGGAAGTGATACTTCGGCCGCCATATTGAAAAAACACATTTTCGTAAAACTCAAAATGGGGCCTCAGGGTAAATGTTGATATGCTCAAATTTGATGTGTATGTATACGGCGATCGATTACGCAAAAAAAAATTGGGAGCTGAATTTTGAATTTCAATTTTGTTTTTTTGCAACTTCTGGTTGCATTTTTTTCAAACTTAATCACTCACACCACGTGACCTTGACCTTTGATGACTTAGACCTCTATAGGGTTGAAGGTCATTGACTTGGGCTATCGTTTGATACTTTGACATTTGACCTCTGACATGAATTTCCGGTTTTATAGCTGTCCGTAAAAAGCCAAATTCGCAACTTTGGACTGCTCTAGCACGTGACCTTATTAACCTAGAGAGTAAATTTTTTCGGTTTCCTAATGTGCTTCTCATGCACTTTACATTGATATATAACAATCGTTTTTTTAAAGCAAAATTGAAATTCGTGATTTTTTCAAATTTGAGGTTTTATTTGACAATATATGTGTCTCTTTGATCTTGGTGTATGTATATCTTATGTCCTATTTTATGTAGAACCTTGATATTTGGAATACTACAAGACACTTTGAATATGAATTCACCTATGACAAAAAAATTGATGTGGGCGTGGCAAATATGGGTTGAATTACTAATTGTTTACATTTAGGGGCAGGGCCATAACTCGCATAGGATACGTTTGTTCAAAAAGGGACTTTGCACAATATTACCTCATCCTTTTGGCCAGTTTGTGTTAATAGGTCAATTGTTTCAGCTTTATTGTTCCAAAAAAGGAACGGGTTTTAACATTTGGGTATTTTCATTTTTTCGATTTTGACCTTTGTTGACATTTGTTGACCTATATCTTTTGACCTGTATGATGTAGAAGCTTGAAATTTGGTATACGACATAACATTTTGAATATCAATTAACTTATGTCAAATAAATCAGGTGGGCGTGGCACATCCGTGTTAAATTACTCATTATTGACATTTTTGGCCAGAGGCATAACTCGCAAAAAATACATTTTTTCAAAATGGAACTTCGCATACAATTACCTCATGTTTTGAGCCACTTTGTCTTAGAAAGAAAGTTGTTTCAGCTTCATAAAAAAGAAACAGGTTTTGGAAATTCACAATTTTCAATTTTTGACCTTGACCTTTGTAATATATCTATTTATACTTTTATATTTGCTGTCCTATGTCCACTTCCGGTTTTATATCCGTGTGTAATTTGAAACTTTGATGACTTATATCTCTTGATCTTGACCTTTTTAAACCTTCTCCTTACAAGATTAAAGGTCATTGGCCTTGGCTATCTGCTGATACTTTCATTTGTGAGGTCTGGCGTCTACTTCCGGTATTAGAATCTTCTAAATAATGAAAATTGCTCAACTTTAGACTGTTTTTGCTTTTGATCTAATTATCGTCGATGGTTGATTTTTTTAGGGTCTTTAGCAAATTGCTACATTTGCAAAGTCCCACTCTGTGCCACGTGTGGCTCTAGTGAATATGATTGTTTTAAGAAAATATATCAAAACCTAATTTTTCTGAAATTACAGATGAACCAGAAATCGGATTTATCTGTGAAAAGTGATACTAAAAGCAAGCTCTACTAGCTGTTAAAGTAAAAATTTAGGGAATTGTATCCCTTTAAAGAATTTTGTAGAAGTGTTTCTATTCAACACAAAAAAAAGTCATCATATTTTAAGCCACTTTATGCATTAACTTTTTGTCTTGTTTATTTTTTTTTAGGAGAATGGCACCAGTATGATGGGTTTTGTTACCACAAAGAAGAAAAGTCAATGTGGCAAAAAGTTTCTGGTTATTTATTTAAATCATCTGGTTTGCATGGAATGTTGCTGGGAGATTTAAATACAGCTGCACAGCATTTTCTAAATCCCTTGGTACAAACAGTGCTGTGCTCACATACAGAAAATGCAACTGAGTTTAAAGAGCAGGTGGAAATGGCTTTGAATTGCATCAGAAATCAAAGTAACGGTACTGAAATATTGCAGGAAGAAAGTTTATTTTTTGAGGTTTGTTTTTATCTTACATTCCTGTACAGTATACTCTGCGTAATCTGGCATACACAAGGACCGTCAAACAATGTCGGATTAGCAAGAGTGTCGGAGTACTCAGAGTTTCCACATTTTTTAACATTGCCACGTGTTACTATTTATAGCTCAGTGACCCACATTCTACAGACTGTACCTTTCTAATAATAAGACAATAATTAAGTCAATTCAGTTGTATATCAGTTACTCTTATTTAATTGGTCATATTTTGAGCTACTGTACATAAGCTTTTTATTGGAATTAATATTGTCAGCAAACTTTTTAAAAAATTCCTCTTTATGTTTTAAAATGGTGCTTATTGTTTTTCGACCTTAAATAGATTTCATAGCTAAACATTTCTGCGAAGGTTGCAGCACTTTTTCATAATCTCCAATCTATACAGTGTAATGAATGATACAAGTACCCATGTCATTTGATCTAAAGGCAATGACCTTGATCTTGAAGAGAGGTCATTGGCGGTGATTAATCAGCAGATTTTAGTTCTTTTGATTTCATGTGATTTGATCCGTATTATCAATAAAAAATAAGCGATTATCTAATTGACGATAAGTGATTAAGATAAGTAGATGTCGAATTATACAGATTTTTATACGCCTACATGAAATGGGAGGGCGTTTATTGCTGTCACCCATGTCCGTAGGTCCGTCGGTCCACAATTGCTCGTAAACACTCTACATGACACAATTCTTGACGGATTTTGACAAAACTTGGTATGAGTGTTCGTAATCACCCAAGGATGAACCCTATTGAAAATCAGGGGCCGGTTTCACAAAAGAGTAGTAAGTTTGCAACCGATCACAATTCGTTCGTAAAACTTACGATGGATTTCACGAAATAAATTCAATCGCAACTTTGGTCGTATCTTAGGATTTAAGACCATTAGCTACGACATGTACTTAGATGTCGTAGGACCGATCTTTCGTTATCAAAATGGTGTGTTACGGGGATGGGTCCGTAACACAACAAGATTTAAGGAGTAGAGCTGTTAAATACCGCCTTAACGCTTGGGAAACTGCTGAAAAAGAAATGAAGTACTAGGCTACAAAGCAGGAGCAATTACAACATGTGGCGGTCGTTCAAATGTCAGATGGATTTAAAAGTGGGTCCAGGTGGGTGTGTCAAGTGCAAGTAAAAACAGTATGCCTGTCTCAGACACTCGAGTAAACGTTTCAAAAATGATTTGCAGAAAGCGGCTTACAAGACACTTTTTCAAGTGCAATGTTTATTCCATGTTTAGTATTAGGGGGTGAAAGCCGACACCGGGCCTGTTATGTTTAAAGCAAAGAAAGTATACATTTCGTACCAATATGATGATTTTAACAAGATTTTTCTGCCAAGACTCTAATTCTGTTATTGTCAATAGAGATGAGTCTTTTTAGAGGTCCTATAGACGTTGTTGGGACTTTATAGGTCTATCATCTCCTACGTTCTGGCTTTGCCAAAAGTAGGATATTTGAGTCTCTCAGTCTCAAATGGACAGGTCTAGGATGGAACATCTATTTTAAAATAATTGGTAAAATTGGAAGAGATGGTCTAGATAGTTATCTTTCACTATCAATCTCGTCTTGTTACTGTCTCCAATGACGACGGACTCACAGTCACACAGTACAAAGTTTTGCCTGGACATTTTGTTTGACGTATTCTCTGCTTTGGAATCGTAGGTCTAAATAAAATGCTGCTATTACAGATATTGCCGAGATGTCCTGTCTTACCAATGTACTATAGTCCACAAGAGAATGCAAATTCACTGAAAATTTGGTAGAATTTGACGCTCGCTTTGCTTTGACATTTCTCTTTGTCCGCCATGATGGCACCGTCGTCACAGAAAAACGTGACGTCACGCTATGGTTTTCGTCTTAACCATGTCGTAACTAAGATCTTCGTAGGATCGTTTTGAGCAAGTGGTTCTAAGATCGGTACTAGCTACGATCGTATATTTCTTCTACACTTAGTCGTAAACTTGCGACGATCGTAAGCTTTGTGAAACCGGCCCCAGAAGAATCAAAAAATATTTAGTATAAGTTATTGCCCTTGTTCTTGAAAATGCATTTCAACTCTAGAAGGGACAATTCTTGACAGATTTTAACGAAACTTGGCATGAGTGTTTGTAATCAACCAAGGATGAACCCTTATTGAAAATCAGAAGAATCAAAAAATATTTAGTATGGTTTATTGCCCTTGTTCTAGAAAACGTGTTCAATTTTTAGAACTTAAACACTCTAGAAGGCACAATTCTTGATGGATTTTGACAAAACTTGGCATGAGTGTTTGTTATCAACCAAGGATAAACCCTATTGAAAATCAGAAGAATGGAAAATATTTAGTATGAGTTATTGCCCTTGTTCTTGAAAACGCGTTTAATTTTTAGCTCGTAATCATTCTAGAAGGCAGAATTATTGAGGGGTTTTGATGAAACTTGGTGTGAGTGTTCGTAATCACCCAAGGATGAACCCTATTGAAAATCAGAAGAATTGAAAAATATTTAGTATGAGTTATTGCCTTTGTTCTTGAAAATGCTTTCAAATTTAGCTCTTAAACACTAAAAGGCATGATTCTTGCTGGATTTTGACAAAACTTGGTTTTATTATTCAGTCTGAAGATTGAATATTTGCCTTCTAAAGTTTTCATGAGCTAAAAATTGAACACGTTTTCAAGAACAAGGGAAATAACTCTTACTCAATATTATTCAGTATCGCCCTAAAGAGTTGAAAAGAAGTGTATGACTGAAGGTTGAATATTTCATACTGGTGATTGTTCATGTATTGTTAAATATTTTTATTCAAAATCAAAGCTGCCAGTGGGCGTATATTATCTTGCCTGGCAAGCTATCTTTGAACAATTATAAATTAAGTTGTTTCATTTAGTCAGACTATATTGGTCAACAGTCAAGGACAAGATGAGCCCAACTCAAGGTTGGCTGTATCGCCATCATTACATGTTGGTTTTACAATGTTGTGGCTTATAAATATAGGAGTTCCTTCAAAGAAAGCCCTAAATTCAATAAATCTTTGCAAAACTTTTTTCTTGAACCGTTTCAAGCATTTCTCTTTCTCAATCATTTTTATACGCTCACATGAAATGGAGGGGTGGATATTGGCCTCACCCATGTCCGTACATAAATCTGTCCGTCCGTCCACTGTTTGTGTGAGAGTGTGTGTCTCTTTTTTTTTTATCATTATGTGCGCTAAAGAGCAACTTTACTGTTGGAATTACCAGCGCAATATAAATAGGTTGTTATTATTATTATTATTTAAACAGATTTTGATGAAACTTGATGTGAATGTTTGAAGTCATCCAATGATGAACCCTATTGAAAATCAGAAGAATGGAAAAATATTTAGTTTGAGTTATTGCCCTTGTTCTTGAAAACACGTTCAATTTTTAGCTTGTAAACACTCTAGAAGGCACAATTCTTGACAGATTTTGATGAAACTTGGTGTGAGTGTTTGTAATCACCCAAGGATGAACCCTATTGAAAATCAGAAAAATAGAACAATTCCTAGTTATTGCCCTTGTTCTTGAAAACTCTAGAAGGCCCAATTCTTGACAGATTTTGACGAAACTTGATAATATTACTAAGTATCGCCCCAAAAAGTTCAAAAGAAGTTGAATATTTCATACTGGTGATTGTTACTGTACTGCCAAATATTTTACTTCAAAATCAAAGCTGCCAGTGGGCGTATATTACATGAAATTGGCGGCGTATATTGTCGTCACCCATGTCGGTCGATCAGTCCGACCGTCAGTGCGTCCGTCAATCTCCCCGTCCACAATTGCTTGTAAACACTCTACCAAGCACAATTCTTGACTGAAACTTGGTATGGTATGGTATAGGATGAACCCTATTGAAAATCAGAAGAATTGAAAAATATTTATTATGAGTTATTACCCTTGTTCTTGAAAACTTATTCAATTTATAGCTCGTAAACACACGAGAAGGCACCAATCTTGACGGATTAAGATGAAACTTGGTATGAGTGTTTGTTGTTTGTCTCTAAAGGATGAACCCTATTGAAAATACTGAAAAATAATTGGTATGAGTTACTGCCCTTCTTCTTGAAAATGTGTTCAACTTGCTGCACGTAAACAATCTAGGAAGCACAATTTTTGATGGATTTTAACGAAAATCGAAAAATATTATTGCCCTTGTTCTAAAAAACGCGTTTTTAGCCTGTAATTAAACATTCTAGAAGGCCCAATTCTTGACAGATTTTGATCAAACTTAGTAATATTATACAGTATCCCTCAAAAAGTTCTAAAGAAGTGTATGTCTGAATATTTTATACTGACAAATGTTACTGTACTGCCAAATATTTTAATTTAAAATCAAAGCTGCCAGTGGGCATCAGGCCCGTAGATTGCCCGGGGTCTCAGGGGGGGCCCAACTATATGATTCAAAAAGTCAATAAAGAAACGATATATATACATTGAAAATATGTGTTTTAGTGTTCCACGGGGTTGACAATCAACAATGATAATAATCAACAATTACACCAGCTGTAAGCGAGGGTATTGTACAGCAAACCTACTTATAAAACAGATTAAGTCAATTCCTGCTGTTATTTGGTGTTCAAAGGCCATCAGACAATTAAAAGCCTTAGAACTGCTCTTTGTCTATGTAAAACGATAAAAACAGGACATTTTTAACGTTATGGTTGAAAAATGTTCAGGGGGGGCAAATATTTATTAGGGGGGGGGGGCTCCCCCCCTGGCCCCCCCCCCTAGCTACGGGCCTGGTGGGCATATATTACCTTGCCTGGCAAACTATTTTTGATATTATTTTCCAGATAGTGTATAATGTGGTAATTAGACCTATACTTGATCATCTATATTCCTGTGAGAAGAACAACACATCATTGATGTTAGCTATATTTCTTATTAAGTTAGCCAACCAATTTAATATGAAGCTGAACTTTAAATGCCAAGATACTGTATATAAAAATTTACTGGTTCAAGTTAACTGTGAAGAGAAAAAGTGTTTGTCTTCAGAATTTATTACAGAAAATTTTGATAAAAAGTAAAATTTTTATGTTTCTAAATTAACGTATTTTATTATAACCACATTTCAATATGGAACTTGCAATGCAAAATGATTTCTTAACTAAGTAATTTTCAAAAACATGTTAGTGGACAAGTAGTTACTTTTGTTGTCTTAAAGCTGAGATTCCCAACCTTTTCCATGTAGCGACTCCATTTCAGAAACCGGCTTCAAAGTAAAAACAAAGTTTGGAAATGTGGACGTATATTGCCGTCGCCCCTGTCCGTCGGTCGGTTCATTCGTCCGTTCACATTTCTTGTAGGTTTTATTCGATCTTGATGAAACTTGGTATGCATGTGTATATTGATTAGATCTCGATCAAGTTTTAAATTGATAATAATTGGATGACCGGTTTCAGAGGTATTACCCTTGACTTAGTAAAAATGTATCCAATACCGCTTGTAGGCACATCAGTTTTTATCTGATCTTGATGAAACTTTATATGCATGTATATATTGATGAGATCACAGTCAAGTTTGAAATTGATAATAATCGGATGAATGGTTTCTGAGTTATTGCCCTTGACTTGGAAAAAAAAGCCTCAAATTTGCCTTGTAGGCGCGATAAAAAGCTACATTTTTTTTTCCGATCGTGATGAAACTTGGTATGAATGTATATATTGATGATATCTGGGTCAGGTTCGAAATTAGTAATAATTGGATGAACAGTTTAAGAGTTATTGCCCTTGACTTAGAAAAAACACGTAAAATCTGACAATAGAGAATACAGTTTTTATCTGATCTTGATGAAACTTGGTATGCATGTATATATTGATGAGATCTCGGTCAAGTTCAAAATTGGTGATAATTGGACGACCAGTTTCAGAGTTATTGCCCTTGACTTAGAAAAAAACACGTAAAATTTGACAATAGAGACTACAGTTTTTATCCAATCTTGATGAAACTAGATATGCATGTATATATTAATGAGATCTCGGTCAAGCTAGAAATAGTAATAATCGGATGAACAGTTTCAGAGTTATTGCCCTTGTGTGTACAGCGATGAGACATTGTTCACGTTTGAATTTGACGATAATCAAGGTTTTTGCCTTGACTTATAGATGATTTTAAGATTATTTGAAATTCATGATTAAGTCACTAAAGATTTTGTTATCATTTCAGACAGCTGGTAGTGGGCTTGTGTTACCTTTCCTGGCAAGCTATCTGTAATATGTCTGTCATTCTGTAGCTTGTCATTAAAATGTCTGTGTCTTTGGCCATTTTGTATAGATTTTGTTGTTGTGGGTCATATATATTGATGAGATCTCAGTCGAGTTCGTAATTGGTAACCATTGGATGAAGGTTTTCGGAGTTGCCCTTGACTTAGTAAAAACTTGTCAAATTTGGCTTGCAGGCACGATAGGGACTACAGTTTTTATCCAATCTTGATGAAATAGATATGCATGTATATATTGATGAGATCTCGGTCAAGTAATAATCAGATGAACAGTTTCAGAGTTATTGCCCTTGTGTGTCATGTTTGAATTTGATGATAATTTGATGAACTGTTTCAGGTTTTTGCCTTGACTTATTGATGATTTTTATACGCCCACATGAATATGTGGTCATATATTGTCGTCGCCCAGAGACTACAGTTTTCATTCATTCATTCAGTTCAAATTTGACGTATTTTCGATGAACAGTTTTTGATATATTGCCCTTGACTTTGTTAAAGCGCGTCGAAATTTGTTAAAATAGTTCGTGAGCAGGATTGAAGCCACAGTTATCAACCGATTCTGATGAAACTTGGTGTAATCATTGGATTTGATAAGATTTCGGACAAGTTTTAACTTGATGCATTTTTGATCGACAGTTTTGGAGATATTGCCATTGACTTTGTAAAACGCTTCAAAATTTGTTTGTGAGCACAATAGAAGCTACAGTTTTCAACCGATTTTGATGAAACTTGGTGTGATCATTGGAATCGATAAGATCTCAGACTAGTTTAACTTGACGCATTTTCGATGAACGTTTTCTGAGTTATTGCCCTTGACTTAGGAAAAACGCGTCAAAATTTGTTTGTGAGCATAATAGAAGCTACAGATTTCAACTAATTTTGATGAAACTTGGTTTGATCATTGGAATTGATAAGATCTCGGACAAGTTGTAACTTGATGTATTTTTGATGAAAATTTTTTGAGTTATTGCCCTTGACTTTGTAAAAACCTGCAAAAGTTGGTTTTTTGCCCTTGATTAGAGCTGTGTGATTTAATTGTTTGTTGTATTAGGTTTTCAGGGATTGATATTAAAAAATTTTGTGGAATTACTCAGCATAAATAACTGGCATATATATATGTAATTGAATTCAAACTAATAAAATTTCTTCAATATGAGATAATTCGTACTTTAGTCACTAAAGACTGTTTTATCATTTCTGACAGCTGCCAGTGGGCGTATGTTATCTTGCCTCGCAAGCTATCTTAAGATTATTTGAAAATTCATTATTAAGCCACTAAAGATTTTGTTATAATTTCTGACACTTGGTAGTGGGCGTATGTTACCTTGCCTGGCAAGCTATCTTATTGTAATACATCGTAATCATTTGTATTACATTGTTGTCTGGAAACTAAAAGCTTTGACAATATTGAGGTGTCAAAATCTTCATCAAAACGTAATCTTCTGTGATTAAGATCCAGCCGGGAAAATGATTTTTCGGTGATTCCAAACACATTTGATATGCAATTTCAAATTATGATGTAATCTGCTGAAACATGAGCATGAGAGGTACATCTTCGAATTTTTTGAGAATAGTAAGTCTGTAAGAGCCATTTCCAATGATCTTAGACGAAGGAAGGTAGGTTTTCCCCCCAAGAGTTTTTAAGAATTTTCACAGCATCCCCAAGAAAAGTGCCCCAGAGGTTTGAAACCGAGGTCTTGAAGGGATATAGTGGTCTAAATATTTTCTTGCTCAGGTGATAAATCTTTATTTCAGCTATCAGCATCTATTTTCAGTGAAAATCTTACATCTGCTTAAAATTTTTACTGCAAAATTAATACAGAAACTTGCTAAAATAATGTTAAACTCTACTTGTTATCATTGGTAGACTGCAGAAGCCCAGGCATGTTTAAAGTTTTGTCATGAAAGCACTGTTATTTATTAACTGCTGCCATAGAAAGTAGTTTATAATAATAAAGACATCTGTATAATTATTACCACCATTAAATATATTTTGCCACTTTACAGGTCATACATTATTTGGGTTATTTATAGGTATGTTTGTGAGCAGATTCTGAAGTTTATTAAACAACAACCTGGTGTTAAAGATGGCACTTGTGTTTCTACATGGTTATATGCTGCACCATTAGTACATTTTTTAAGTGGTCATGTTCATCCATTCAGTAAGATTCCAGTAGATGTTTATCATTTAAAGAAAGAATGGTGGTGTTTCCCTGGTTTTGAACAGAGGAAAAACGCTTTGAAGGTCTACGAGTGGAACAAGTAAGTTTTTATACGTCCACATGAAAATGTGGTCGTATGTTGCCGTCGCCCCTGTCCGTCGGTCTGTTCGTCCATACGTCAACATTTGTTGTGGGCACAATAGAGACTACAGTTTTCATCTGATTTTGATGAAACTTGGTGTGAGCATTGAAGTTGATAAGATCTCAGTCAAGTGCGAATTTGACAATTTTTCGATGAACTTTTTTTTGAGTTATTTCCCTTGACTTAGTAAATTTGTGTCAAAATTTGTTTGTTTGTGGACACAATAGAAGCTACAATTCTCATAAGATTTCGATGAAACTTGATGTGAGCAGTGGAATTGATAAGATCACGTTCAAGTTTGAATTTGACGACTTTTTGATCAACGGATTTTGAGTTATTGCTCTTCCCACATATTCTTGAAACGATCTTAGCACTAGGATGTCCTAGAATCAATGTTAGAAGATAAGAAACTAGGACATCCTAGCGCTAAGATCGTTTCAAGCATACGTGGCAAGGACTTAGTAAAATCGAGTCAAAATTTGTTTGTGGGCACAATAGAGCTACAATTTTCAATGGATTTTGATGAAACTTGATGTGATCATTGGAATTGATAAGATCTCGTTCAAGTTCAAATTTGACGACTTTTCGATGAACAGATTTTGAGTTATTGCCCTTGACTTAGTAAAATCAAGTCAAAATTTGTTTGTGGGCACAATAAAAGTTACAATTTTCAATGGATTTTGATGAAATTTGGTGTGAGCATTGGAATTGATAAGATCTCAGTCAAGTTAGAATTTGATGACTTTTCAAAGAACGGTTTTGGAGTTATTGCCCTTGACTTAGTAAGATCAAGTCAAAATTTGTTTGTGGTCACAATAGAAGCTACAATTTTTATATATATATTATATATTCGTCGCCCCTGTCTGTCTGTCTGTCAGTCTGTCAGACAAATCGAAAAATATTTACTATGAGTTATTGCCCTTGTTCTTGAATTGTTTGTGGACACGATAGAGAGCTGGTTTCTAGATGGATTTTGACGAAATTTGGTGTGAGTGTTTGTAATCACCCAAGGATGAACCCTATTGAAAATCAGACGAATCGAAAAATATTTACTATGAGTTATTGCCCTTGTTCTTGTAATTTGGGATATTTTGGCGGGAAATAGAGAATATTGATGAAGATTTTGTTGTATTGGCGAATGGTATAGGTTTTTGGCTGTTATTTGTATTAGTAACTACTAGTGATGGTATAAATATAGAGCCAACATTTTACAGTGAACGTGAAGCATATTTCACTCAGAGTAGATGGAATCAACATAGAATGAGAAATTACTCTAGAAGTAGATATCAGCAAACACCCAACACGTGGATTCAATAAGTCAACTAATTATCCTCGAGCTCATAATAATTGGTCAGAAAAGTCCAACACTGGTGGTGGTGATGGACAGAAAACTAGACGCCAATCCAATCCTATAGGGTCTGATGGAAATCCTATGAAATGTAGAATTTGTCAATCTATATTTCATTTTGCTCGATCCTGTCCTGATTCATTTGAAGCATTAGAGAGGAGGTTTCATTGGGAGAGGAGGTTTCATAGGCGTAAGCCTGTTCTCCAATCCTTTTCTTAGGAATAAAATATTGTTTACAAAAAAAAAAATCTGAAAAACAGGTCTTCGTAAGAGAGTCTATTAATTCTGCTGTACTAGACCGTGCATGCAGCTCTACTGTAACTGGTCGACAGTGGATGGGCTATTGTTTAGATGAAAATCATTCGGATAAAGTTTTAAGATTGAAGAGTGAGGCATATTTTTAATTTGGAACTGGAGATAAAGTCAATAGAAAAAGTGACATTTCCATGTGAACTTGGTGGTAAGAAGTGTATGTTAACAACAGATGTAGTTGACAGTGATATTCCATTGTTACTTGGAAAACCAGATATGAAAGCTGCGAAGGTGGTTTTGGACCTAGAAAATGATCAAGCTGTAATAAATGGAAGTAAAGTAGATCTAGACTGTACTTCATCTGGACACTATTGTGACCCTTTTCAGATTAATGATACATCTATAGACCAAAGTACTGTATTTTATACATTAAAAGACAAATCAACTCCAGAACATCCTGGCAAAATTTCCTTTATTGCACCCTGCATGGCGTTGCCCGTCTTCATTAGCCCACATGGTGCAGAAAAGTAGGACGTAAAACTCCATTCATTTCATTTCACTTTTTTACCTTCAGAACAGAAGAAAATTATTTTGAAGCTACACAAGCAATTTGCCCATCCTTCTGGTCAGATACTCAAATTGTTATTACATGATGATGGTGTAAAAGAATGTGATGATATAATGGACACAGAGCAGAATGTGAAATTTGTAGAAAATTCTTTTCTACAAAACCCAGGCCGATTGTTTGTTGTATCAAACTTCAATGATGTAGTTGCTATGGATCTCAATGTATTTCGTGATGGATCCTAAATGACAATGGTGGAGAATTCGCATATGATGAATTAAGAGATGTAGCTGGAAATCTGAATATTGAGGTTTTTACATCAGCCGCTTACAGCCCTTGGCAGAATGGTATCTACGAGAAATCATGCTGTTTTTGATGATTGTGTGGAAAAGATTACTGCTGATCACCCACACTTGGAAATCGAATTGGCTTTGGTATGAGCAATTCATGCAAAGAACTGCCTACATATGGTATACGGTGACAGCCCATTCCAATTAGTTTTTGGTTCTAATCCTAATTTACCTGCTGTTCTTCAAGACAAACCCCCAGCTCTTGCAGTGAAATATTTGCAAACCATATTAATGCTTTGATAGCGGGCAGAAAAGTTCTTATTGAAGTGGAGTCATCAGAACAAATTAGGCAAATAGGATTTTCGGGTGAAAGCTTTCAAACAGGCGACGAAGTATATTATAGGCGAGATAATCAGTGGTATGGTCCGGGGAAGGTTGTCGGTAAAGTTGTTTTCATTCGACATGGTAGTATCTGTGTTCGTGTGTCACCGTGTCAACTCATTTGGGTTGAAGATGAGTTTAAAACTGATAAAGACCAATCATGTTAATGACACCACTGACCAGCAGGTGGATACCTTAGAAGATACCCAAGAAGATATTGATAATTCCCAGATGGACATCAATGACAATAATACTAATGATAAATCAGAACCAAAACTTCCTAAGATATATGAGACAATTAAATATCTACCTTCAGGTGAAATATTAAGTCGTGCTGGTAAAGTGACTGGTAGAAATCGCTTTTGGTTAAATTTTCAGAACAAAAGTGACTCAAAAATTTTGTAAATGATGTGAAAGCATGGAAATCATTCAATACTACTGAAAGTGATTCTTCATTACAAAAAGAAGATGGGGAGAATACAAATACAGCTGATGTAGAAGAGGTTCATTCAGTTTTTATACCTGAACAGCGTCATAAAGAACAAAGGGTCAAAACAGCAAAATTACAGGAGATTGAAAATTGGGCATTTTTTAAAATTTATGAAACTGTGCCTGACTGTGGACAACCATTTATAACGACACGTTTGGTTATTACTGAAAAGATTTTGACTGGAAATATTCAAATTGCTAAGGCTAAGCAGGCCTGTAGCCTGACCAGTACTCCTTGGGGGCCAAACGTGCAATCGAGGGGTGCAATTTAGCAAAGCACTTTGACAGACGATTAAACGTCAGGAAACGGACTTTCACGGAGTATTTTAGATTCGAGATTATTTTTGTTAAAACATACAAGTTATAATACGTTACATTTTTATTGCCGTTTTAGTTTAAACGTAGTCGGGTATGTTTTATTGCAAAACGTTGAACAAATACGTCCAAGTTAATTTTCTGGGTACGCTTCCTGTTGAAGGCAAGAAGAACAAGATTGCGCTGGCGAAGCTGAGTCATATATCGTCGTTGTGGTGAGTCAACGCAAGTAAGAGTTGAAAAGCTGCTTTCACACACAGCGGTACTAGAACCGAATGTGGCAACGCTTGCAGCCAGTGCAATTAATTCAGGGAAAGGCAATTTCTGCTCGTATAGTTTTTGAAAAACAAGATTGGAGTCCTGCTTTTCTGTCTTGGCAACGTTATCTTGGAGAAATTGTTATGACACCTCAAGTTCAGCGACAGAGGGAATTTCTACTCCAAGCTTGGATAACGGTGTCAGAGCGGTGGGTTCGTTTTGCCACATTGCCCAACTTGCCGCATCATGCCCTACTGCACAAAAACAACATAAACATTTTTATTTATAATTTGGACCTGTTAGGAAAAATCGAAACTAGTTTTGAAGAAACCTCTAATATTCAATGTGATTCCCCAACTTTCAAAAGAAACTCTGCGGATATTTCTTGCTTTAAGCTCTTCTTTATCATATAGATGTCTAACAATTCATATTAAGGCAGCATTTCTGCAAGGAGATGAAATTCAGCGTGATGTATATCTGAAACCCCCTCCCAAAGCTAATGTAGACTTTTGGTATTTTAGTGTAAACAATCTGACATTGATACGTCATTATTTTATTACCACGATCATAACAAATTGATAGTACTGTTTTTGATGCATGGATCAGATAATTTGAGAAAGCTGTAATTGATAATGTTCGTTCCAAATTTAAGATTGGCAAGCAAGCTGTAGGTGCATTTAAGTACCGGTATATAGGACTTAAATTGACGCAAAGTAACCATGACTTAATTCTTGACCAGATTTCATATATTGAAAATATTTCACAAGTTCCTATGAATCAAAATCGAACATCACATAAATTTGAAAATCTTACTGCCACTGAGGCTGGACAAATTAATTGGGTAGCAAATCAATCAAGACCAGATGTATGTTTTCATAATTCATTAGAATTAAGTACATCAATTAAAGAACCAAAAGTTCAAGATTTACTTCTTGCAAATAAAATAGTGAAGAAATTAAAATCTGAAAGTTGCTATGTAAGGTTTCCAAATTTAGGTTCTATAAATGACTTACAACTTGTATTATTTTGTGATGCATCCTAAAAGATGGCACCTCCAGTGCAGGTGGATATGTAATATTTCTTGTTGGTAATAATCATAATTGTTGTCTGTTGACATGGAAATCATGAAAAATCTGTTGCGTTGTCAAGAGCTTACTTGCTGCTAAGACCTTATCTATGGTTGAGGATTTAGATACAGTAATCTATATAAAACACATTTTAAGTGAAATTTTGTAAATCCTTGTATGAAAATATTCATTCTACAAAGCAGAAAAGCGGCTAAGAATAGACATAGCTAGCATAAAACAAATGGTAGAAACCACTGTAGTATACCAGATACTGTGGGTTAATACATCTCATCAAATATCTGATGCCCTTACAAAACACAGTGCTTCCTCCCACAAACTTATTGAGATATTTTGCAATGGATATTCAGATATTTTATGTTGTGATTAGCTCAAATTTTATTTCGTGTTTCATTTATTATTTCAGTATCTTTAAAATCCAATATTTTAAGTTGTGAGACTTAAGTTTTGTTTTGTTTTAAAACTATCCTTTTAACAAAAATGAAAAAAGAGTAATTTGTGAGTTTAGTTGATGATGTTTGAATAAGTTGTTGTCTGAATCCTAGATGAACTTTTTTTTTGTAGTCTGAGGTGTAGGTTACTTGTTTAATTAATATGACTGCAATAGTTTATTTATTTTATATCCAACTAGTCAAAATGCGTAAAATTTGTTTGTGAGACTACAGTTTCCATCAGATTAAAATGAAATTTGGTGTGATCATATATATTGATAAGATCTTGGACAGTAAGAATTCAAGGATTTCTTTGTTGAACAGTTAAACGGATGAGTCAAAAAGCATCAATAACACATAAAAGTTTGTGTGATCATATATATATATTTGATATATTGGAAAAGTTTGCATTTGACTAACAGCTTTTGAAATTTGTTCATGCGCTCAATAGAGTACATTTTTCATTCGATTTGAAACTTTATGGGATCATTGTAATTGATAAGGTCTTGAGTAAGGAGTTGATTACTTTTCTGAGTATTGAATAGAAATTTGATAGATTAATTATTATGATTCAAAATTTAACAAAGCTGCTGTGTGGTCATATGTTTATGTTGCCTGGCATGCTATCTTCTTATTTTTATCTTATTCCTCAATAATATTATTGTATTGTATTATCTCTGTATTCACATTGTTTATTATCTGAATATTATCATACATGGTATTAATATGTATATACATGGTAATAATGATTCAATGAAAGTCAAGTTTGAAATGTTATAGATCCACCAGTGAGACATTTTTATACGCCCACATGAAAATTGGTCAGTAAACACAAACCAAGTTTTTTACTGGTCCATTTTTTAGTTGATCCAAATAATGTTGATACTCTAGATCTATAGCACAACACATGGGCAAACATTAAAAAAAAAATAATCTGCTATAGAAAAAACTTAAGTACAGTGTAATCTGACATGCATTGGGAATATAAAAATATTATAGATGACCTGACTGATAGTTAAATAAAGAAAGACAATTCAGTTGTTACATTTACTCCTTTGATTCAGTAACAAGCACAGGTCCATCTATCAACAAGGGAATCTTCTTTAGTTGATTTGATATTTTCAACAAACATTTGTTTGAATTCATCTTTACTTTTTAAAATGTCAATGATTGTTGTTCAACCTAAACCATAGCTAAATCGTTTTGTGTAGGAGGGGGCAGCACCTTTTCATAGTCACAAATGAAAATCAAACAAATCAAAAAATATTTAATACGAGTTTTTGCCTTTTTCTTAAAAACTAAGATGCTTTCTGGACCACCGGATCAGGTTTTTTTGCCTTTCTTGGTGTTTGCTGTTCTTGTTGAACCAGGTGTCACCAAGCTGCAGACATTTTCGCATGGCCTTATGGCAAATGGCTACGACTTGACAGTTTACATTATCTGTTCCGATGGTTATTTTCAATATTCATTAGTTGGGTTTTTTTAATTAAAAAAAGCATTTGTCAGACCTTTGTTTTTATCATAATTATTATACACTCACATAAAATGAGGGGCATATATTGGCGTCACCCATGTCCGTAGGTCCATCAACCACAATTGCTTGTAAAAACTCTAGAAGGCACAATTCTTGACGGATTTTGATGAAACTTGGTGTGAATGTTTGTAATCACTCAAGGATGGGGCGTATTCAAAATAATAGAAAAATATTTAATATGAATTAATGCCCTTGTTCTTGAAAACAAAGGAAGCTGAAATTGCTTTTGGCAAAGGGGACATCAAAACCCTATGCAACATCACAAAACAACTAAGTGGTAAACCATCGACCCCAAACAGACCAATCAAAGATGAAGACAACAATACTATAAAAAAAACTAGAAGCACAACTAGAAAGCAAGAAAGAGCATTTCCACGATGTATTAAACCGACAACCACCAGTAGATCCACCTGAACTAGAAAATGGTCCAACATTTAACATCAGAACCAATATCATTTAGTT